ACTGCACACACACAACAAGATAAATTTATTTGTTTATGCAAATAAATTTATAGAATAGAATAGAATAGAATAGAAATCATTTATTCAAATAAACTTACATTGAAGCACTTTTGAAAAGTCATTACATTTTTTTTAATTTACCGCTCGTTCGGAAAGCTGTCTCATCACAAGAAGAACGAGCAAGAAACTTGCGTGATGCTCTTTTAAATAATTTTATTATTATTTTACATTTTTAAGTTTAATTGTGTGAATACAAACCACCAATTAGCACTAATTCAATTAAATACTCAAAAAGAAAAAAAAAATTGAATACATAACCAACTGGTTAAACAATTAATAAGAGGAAATCAGTCATAGTGATTAGAGCAGACCAGTCCCTACAAGCAGCACCCGTTCACGAGTATGACGGATGAGCCAGCCATCACTGCGCTCGACCATATTTTAGGGAGCCCAATGACCCGGCCCACCACGCCGCCACAAGTCTGGACATTTTAGTGAGCATGACTACTCAAAACACTAGACCACGTCAAAGCTACTCACAATTGCCATCTGATAGTTATAGTATTCACATTTTACATAAGAATGCATGCGGCAATTAATACAAAAAACCGCTACGCTTTCATATTTCTAAAATTAATCAATTAAATCAAGAAAGCAATGAGAAAAAAAAAATTATAACGTTGTATGCTAATAAACTAATTATTTACTTGATATGTTGTCATCTATGAATTCGTCTATCCTGTAATAGGCTTTCTTACATAAAAATTGTTTAATATAAGATTTGAATTGCCTCTCTGTCAGATTTAATGCAGATTCCGGCAGTTTATTATAAAATCTTATGCAATTACCATAGAATGAATTACTGATTTTGTGCAGACGGCATTTAGGTAAAATAAGCTTATTTATATTGCGTAAGTTTCTACTTGTACAGTCTTTGAGTTTTTTAAAACTCGCTAAGTTCTTCCGTGTATACATAATATTTTCATAAATGTATTGTGAAGTAACTGTGAGGATATTTGAGTCTTTAAAGCACTGACGTAATGACTCTCTTGAACCCATACCATAAATAGAACGTATGGCTCTCTTTTGTAAAACAAATATAGTATTTATATCGGCTGCTTTACCCCACAGCAGTATGCCATAAGACATTATGCTATGGAAATAACTAAAATATACAAGTTTAGCCGTCGCCACGTCTGTTAATTGCCTAATTCTTCTAATTGCATATGCAGCAGAACTGAGTCTACTGGCCAATTTTGAAATATGGGGCCCCCATTGTAATTTCGAGTCCACTGTTATACCTAAAAAAACTGTATCATTAACAAAATTTACTATTTCGTCATTAAGCAATAACTGTGTATTTATTAGTCTTACATTAGGAAGTGTAAATTTTATACACTTTGTTTTGCTGGAATTTAATAATAGGTTATTACATGTAAACCAATTTAATATTGCAGACATAGCACAATTTACATCGTCTAATTGATTACTTTGACGTCCAATTTTAAACACTAACGAAGTATCATCCGCAAACAGCACTATATCTGCAATTTTCTCTACCATAAAGGGAAGGTCATTTATGTAGATTAAAAAGAGAAAGGGGCCTAAGATTGACCCTTGTGGAACGCCCATCTTATCTTTATCTAAACCTGGCTTAAAAGATGCTTTTTATTAAATTGAGATTAGAGAGAATGTACTTAACTTTTTTATAACAAGCAAGTGGTTATTTCGTTTCGATTACGATCCTATTACAATAAATAATTAAAACTCTGTTTATTTAAACAGTATTTAACAAATCTCTGTTTAAAGTGACTAAATATTATATTATTTAGTCTGTGTAACAATGGTACTTGTAATTTAACGTGTCAAAATCTATAAATTATATAAATATAATTTATTACTTTAAGTATCTTTATTTTTAATAACAGAGACTTACCTTAGTTTAAATATAAACAAATATTGGTCACGGTTTTGTAGCAAGACATGAAAACCACCAACTAATAGGTATATTAATATACACATGAATGTTTTAAATGTAACAATTGGAAATAATCCCAAATAAAGGAAATGAATAAGACACCTAAACATGTATTGAATATCTTACACAAGATTAACTGTTTGTTTGTTAATATTTTAATTTCGAACAAATGATGTAAGGCTAAAACATGTCCTATATCTATTTAAATTCGCGATTCACAACGCGAAAGTTTAAAAATGTGTTCAACGTATTTTAACTTTGTAAGGCAAAATAATATACCTACATATCCGTACACGTAGGTTACAAATAATGTATTAATTAAGGATTTATGTTCATGTTTAATCAATCGTAAGTAGAATTTTTAGGGCATGAGCTAATCTCAGAAAGTATTACTTCATCTGCATTACTCATAGAATGCTTAACAAAAAAACAACATAGATGTACTCATGAATTATTCTAAATGAAACGCATTGTAAATTTGATATTATGTCTAACAATACTTAGTCTCTGCTTAAAATAATATTATGCTATAATATAAATTAATTTATTAATATTTGTCTTAAGTCAATACTTTATGTGGTTGCTAATATGACCGGCAAATAATATTGCACATTAGGTGGGTAAACTGTTAATCGTAATTGTAAGTAAATAATATGATGCTACCCACATTTAACAATGTTGCACCAAAAGTAAATTGAACATTGCAAATGAGTGTATTTATGTTTTAGATTGTACCGTCTTATGTTAAGTCAAAGGAAGTTTTTAACTAACCACTGAGATACAGGCACACAATAAATATGATAATGTGTTATAATAATATTTAGATTTTATGTGTAAATATTTTAGAGATATGTATACAACTCTATATTATCAATATCTTAAATTACAAGTTGTACACAGTCACACTTATCTATCTTTATCAATTTATTGGTACACAATAAAAGAAAATGGACTCAAAATTTGGCTACAATGATTGAACAAATACATAAAATGTTAAGGCGTAAGCTCGCTAAATATACTGTGTTCAGAGTTCTGGAAAGAAAAGCAAACATTTACAGTAATTCGTAATTTTCAAGCAAAAAGAGTTAGTAAATTGTAGATACTAAGTTTTATAAGCCATGCAATTAGTAGTTAGATGCTCCCAGGAAAACTGAACCTTAAAGTCAATCATTTACACACAAACTCTTTAAATACGAATTCTGAGTCCTTTATTAATGGTTTCCTATTTTTATTTCATTTGAGATAGCGTAAACGAGCATTCGCTACGACTCATGATAATTATTCTGGCACCCCGGCACTGTTGCCGTAAACAGTAGATTATGTATCAAGGTACAAAGGATTGATATCAATTTTGGTACATATAATAGATGTCGTAATCAATGTTCATGAAGAAATAAAATTTTGTCTACATGACATCTGATCTAAAACAATATATTATGTAACATTCCTAAAATTAGTCGATGTCTAAACTATAATAAATGTGACGTACTTATGTAAATATTGAAATTATAAATAGTAACGTCTCTAATATTGTCAGTATATGTATTGTACGAATTATTAATTGGAATTCTGATATACTTAGTATAAGACCATAAATCTTCTTAAAAGTACATAAATAAAAGAAATTTTACAAGACTTGACACTTTATTCAGCACAACATTGGATAACTGCTTAGAATTTGGTATTAAACTATACTATTCGACACCATATTGACCGCAGTAGAACGAAGCAAGTAGAATACAAAAATGTGACATTATAATACGTGTACAAATAAATTAAAACCCAAAATCTGACTGGAGGGATAAACTCCTGCTATACCTCATAAGTTACAATATCATGCCACATTACTGATTTGTCATTAGAGATAAAATATCTTCTATTGTAAATGCTAAGAATAATGAGATTTATTTAGAATGGTAGAGACACATCAATAAAAGAACATTTTAAAATTGGAAGGGAAAGATATAGTGACATAGATATTGAAAGTAGGAGAAAGTGTATTCGGAATATAATTAAAGAAAATATATATGCGATACTTCAATCCCTGTATACATATACTTATTGGCGCTATATCTATAAGAAAATATGGGACTAGACAAGAATTGAGATGAAATATACACAATAATATACTTAAGAAGATGGAAGATCAGTAAGAAATTATAAGGATGATGAAAAGAAAGATCTCGATGGACTTCGAGAGGAAATAGTCATATAGTTATTTTTATACAAACCAGTCTTATTATATTTAGTTGCCTAAGTTATATTTTGTAACATAATATATATGGTAATATCATGATATTATTTTAGATACCTATGACTGTAATGTAAAACTATATTGTTGTAGTTGTAAATTTGTGAGTAATTGTATTCTTTCACATTTTGTTGTAAACTCAACTTTGTTTGAAAAAAGCAACAGCTAAGTTTCTTGCCCGTTCTTCTTAGCTGAAATTGCATTCCGAATGGGCGGTAGATTTATAAAAAAATGACTATTCAAAAATGCTTAAAAAATAATAATTAAGTTTCCTAGAGTAAAAATATTCATATTCTATTATTAATTTAAAATATTTTGAAAAGGGAGAGATGTGATGTACTCATTAAAGTTGAGACTGCAAGTCCCCCCGCTCCTGCCACTCCTCTGGGTGACGTCCGGGCGGGTGGTCGTGTGAGTCGCATTGTGACATATTATTGTTTATTATTTCCTACACCTACCTACCATACCAGGAGGACAGCACAATACCTAATGTCAATTTTACTCATGTTTTAAACTTGGGAATGTCTAATTACTTTTTAACTCGATAGGAGCCCTTGTATATAATACATAAGCGTGGTTGGTTGTGTTGCCAAAAACAAGCTGATATTTCACCTGATGGGAAATGGTGACAGAATACTCTACGACTACAGTACTTCTCATGTGTTACTAGTAGTGAGGTCTAAGATATTAAGCCTCCGTAATCTGTAACAAATAAATAATTAGTATATAATAGAACTTTTTATTTAACTATGTATTTTTTTGTATAACCAGGTACCTGGATTCACCGCAAACCACGTGTTAAACTTCAGCAATGGTTACGCGTCCAGTTTGGCCACATTGGAACTGGAGGCAGCGGCATTGTCACCTGTGCCTACACTCATGATACGGTAAATAACTCAACGTTCTATTAAATAGCCATCATTATCATCATATAAATCATTAACTGTCCACTACTGAATAAAGGCTTCCCCCTATTGAGAGGTTTTGCCAGTAGTTGCCATTTTTTTTTCCACATTGCTTAGCGGGCGGTTCGGAAACCACTGTTACGTTTTTATGATGATTTAAAAGGGAGGCTGCTACTTAACTCTCGACCATTAAGTAGTAAGTCAATATTATTAACGTCACCATCATGGTTTATCCATCAGATATTGTTGAACATAGGTTTTTCAAATATTATGTCAAAAATACGATATTGTATCTTATTTACAATTTTATTGCAATATAACAATATTTTAAAATCGTCACTCCATCTTGTGGGAAGCATTCTATGCTACGCTTGCATATACGGACGTTTTTTTTTATAAAACGAAATATCTGCCTAATTCAATATTTAATTATCTTTTGGGTATTAATTAGGTCGCAAAGAATTAAGTACTTATATTTCAACGAAAACATAAGATTCTTTTTTACTGACATTAAATGTTATTTAAAGAACCATTAATTAAATTTATACTTATCATAATATCGTAGAGAGGTTGAGTTGGTTTATGTATTCTTTTTTATGTTATTTTGCACCATCTTGTAAATTTAATATATTCATAATAACATTTTTGTTGAATTCCATAAAATTATATCACATATTTAAAAATAACAATTTATAATTGATAATAATGTTTTCTTTTAATATTGTTAAAGTTTTTAATTAAAATAATATACAAAAAAGTATAATCAAATTAAGTACATTTGTTTCAATCTCGACAAAATTAAAATGAGACAATTACGAAAGTAAACTACATTAATTGAAAAAAAAAAGATTTATGAAAATGATTCATAATTCGCAATGTATTTTTTTATTTATCAAATAATTACTTAACATAGTAGTAAAAAAGATAAGAAGAATTGACTATTTCCTTTTGTAAGTAGTTTAAAATTTTTCCTATCTGATATCTTGAAGTGAAAAAAAAAATAGAAAAAAGCATTACTATTCACTGCTGTCTCGATGTAAAATTTAAAAATTATATGACATACATTCTTATATACATATCTATCATGCTTGACTCTCAGATGTAGTATAACGTACTTTATAATAATTTCATGACATGGCATAGATTAAGGAAAAAGATTGATACTACTAGTTTCGTATTGTTTCAGATGTGAAGCATCGATATTCGACGTGTGGAAATCATCAAGCCACACATTAGTTTTACGGGAAAGAAGCGCAAATCCAGCATCAGCATTAGGGAGAAGTTTTACAGGTAAATAAAAAATATATAAAATATATATTTTTATTTGTAATTATTTCATTGTCGACTATAAATCACATATTCTAATATACAGATTAAAATTAAAGTAGTGGACAACTATTTATCTAATTAAAACTAGGATTTTGAGTCTCCCACAGCCGTATAAGAGATTCAAAAATTTTTGTTTTTTCTTCAAATCATTTTTTATCAGTGAAAATGTTTATAGTATTGATGGAATGTTCTGGTAAGACATTCAGTCAATAGCAGGCTAACATATTCCAAAAATTAATAAATGATAATGTCACTCAATTTATACGAATTTTTGCCATCACTTTTTTTTATTCTTTTTCAAAAACGTAACTGACTGTTAGAAACAAATGGATAATAAAAACAGAGCCCATACTAATGTATGGACTTTACTTTTATTAAACATTTTTGTGTCTAACGGTACATTCGGTTTCGTTTTTAGTAAATCTAATACTAAATATGCATATTAATGAAAAAAATATGTTAATGTAATGAATATTTTGTGTAGGTGGAGCGACAGAAACATGTCTACCAACATTAATGGTTCTCCTGCTTCAACTACTTCTACAGTTTTTGTTAAGAATCTATACTGAAACATCAATAAGATAGCTGACTTGGTTATAACTTTAATATTAAAATATATGCGTAGTTTCGTCTCAGGGTTCGAAGCAATTTGAAAATTGTATATTAGATATAATTATTATAATATAAATATTGTTATATGAAAAATAGAATTTGATGTTTTGTTCAGTTTCATTATTTAATTGTTATTTAAAACATTAATTCAATTTAAATTAGCCATAGATTAAATTCTTGAATTTAATATTAGAACAATAAAATAATAAGTTATACAAATTTGTAAATCATTAATTTTACTAATTTATATAATTAAATTCTTAATATTATTGTTTTAGCTCGAGTTTCAATTATATTTCATCTAATATTTATGTTAAATTCATCATTACGTACCATATTTATTATTGACATAGACTGATTATATTGAATAATAATTAACAATGTACATAAAATATTAAATTTGTTTGTAAATAGTTATAGTACGTCAGGTTCCATACATAGTGTTAATATTTTCTAATAAATGTTAGTCCAAAAATGTGTAAAATATTTAATATAATACATACTTATATTGTGGAGAGCGTTTATACCGAAAAACTAGAATACTCTATATACCAGATAAAAGTAATAATCACTCATATGTATTTTGACAGAAATCTCTCTATCAAAATACTACTAAAAATTGGAATTTATAATTGAAAATTTCAAGAGTAAAATGTAAATAGTAGGCAAAAATTTTGTAATACATTTGTGTGCAAGTTGTTTCATGATTAATGTATAAGAGAAATGGACGTTACATTTTAAATAATGATTCATAAATATTAAAATTGTTTCTTTCTTAAAACTTGACGCATGAACTGACATTACCAGAATTCGGTATAAACACTCTTAAAGATTTGCATTAGAAATTATAATGAAATTAATAAAAAAATATAAATAAGTTATTTTGTTCCGTATTATTATTTAACAATGTTACAGTTTACATTCATAATAATATTTATATTTCTTTCAAAATAAAATAATAACAATAAACATTTTTTTCTATAATTTATAATTTTAAACATTCTATTTCAATTAAATTAGTTTACTAAACAAACAATTATTGCTTAATGTTATTTATATATGGTTTATGAATGCTATCAACCGCAATAATATTTATGGTATATAAAATAACAAATAAATACGTCATTTATTGATGTATTTCCTTTATAAAAGGTATTTTATTTTATGTATTATATATAAATATATTTAACTGTTGTTTAAGTAATAGCATTTATTATATAAATGTAATTAATATTATAATCCCAAACAATATTTTATTCTTTGTTAATTTAATTTATATTATATACTGTAAGAAGGAGGCTGTGTTTGTAGTAAATATAGAATATTATTAAAAATTATTTATCATTATTATTATTATAATTATTCATCATCAACAATTTAAAATATGAAACTGAAATAATTGATTAATGTGTTCAAATACTTTTTTGCAAAGTTTGTAAACTTAATAAACTAAAACGTGCGACCACGAACTAAGATCATTTAGCTTTTTATACTGTTACTACTTGTGAGATTGGGACATCGTCTAGTGTCAAAATACTAGGTTTTTTGTGCATCCAAGCTTGTCAGAGTGCTTAGACCCAGCTACCCGAGGGTAGTTGTTTTTGCAGTTGAAGCTGGGGCAAAACTTCTAACTAGACGATATTTACAATACATCTCATTAATACAAAATACTACTAAAGGGATTTAAATAAAAATCTCAATGAGACCGATAAAGCTCAAAACAATAATTGTTTGTTCCCGATGCGGTTTTCATTTTCCATAGTTGTATTCTTGAATTGAAAGGTTTAACTTAATATCTAGTGTATGCTTTATCTGGATAATCCATCTAGAAATTAATTTTTCGTTGGTTTTCCTATTTCTGAAATTTACAAGTGCGAAATAAAAAGCTATATATATATATATATATATATATATATATATATATATATATATATATATGCGGGAGTTGAACTCGCATCCATCGAAAATGAGGCAGTGTGTTTAACCACAATAATTAGAACATTACAAAAAGAACGAAATAATAACGATTAATGTATTTACGAATATATTTCATATTACGATTATATTTTTATTTATTTATTTAAGTTTTTACAATAAAAATGTGATGGTGCATAATAAATAATTGTAATATATACAACAATATGTGTTATTGATAGAGAAAAATAATTGTAAATAAACTAATCTAAACTTTGTAATGATGGAAAATAATAGAACAGAATGTTTACACATTCATGCTAATAATTTAAAACAAATATCATACCATACATGCGTACAAAAATACTAAGAAATTAGAATTGACATAGATCTGTTTGTATCATTAATCTCCCGTAACCTCTTCAGTATCTTGCCTATTGATTTTGTGATTTGCTTGCATAAAATCATTATCATCATCACTGATTTGTGATTCTAAGTACAAAAATTTAATTAGCGTACTTATTTCACAAGTGTCATATGATATTTCATATTGAACGTACATACGTCACATCTGCTACTTTAAGTAACAGATGTATATCACAGTAACAGCGTTCGGATCTCATAATTCATCTGTAATGCTCTGTTATAAAATAAAAAGAGCAATCGTATAGAATGATTGAATAGAAACACAGATCATAAATATCACAACTGATATTTTATTTTCAATTATTTATTTATAGGAAATAGTAGCAAGTATAATACTATATCACTGCGATTTTTAATCTGCTTTAATGATTTTATAATGTATTAGAAGATGAATGAAGAATGATTATTTAAATAGAGTTGTTTAAAAACTTTTTTAGGATTCAAATGATTCGAAATTTTGTTGTCTACTTAGAAGGACACGAAACAAAATTATTTATTTTTATAAACTTTTATAAAACAATAACATACAACAATAACATTCTACAATATTTAAGATATTTGTTTTAAATTATTAATAATAGTCCAAATAACTATACTACAACTACAATACTCAATTGTAACTGTCTACAATAAGTTTGCCTAATTATGCATTAAATTGAAAGTGATTTTAGTATATAATATACTAAATAAAAAGGTAAAAATAAAAGGGGTAATATATGTAATTATTTTTGTTTTATTTATTAATTACCAAATAATATATACTATATTTACAACCTGTTTGCTGATAAGTGGCCTCCACATCCCATAAATGCCTTAGGGGCTCGAATATGCTAACATATTTTGAAATAAAGTGCTGTGTCTTTATATTACAATCATACGAGGACAGATAATATATAAAAAAATTAACGTATCTTTTGAAATTTAAATTGTTAAATTTGAAGTTTATTGTATTTATAGAAAAAACTAAAACGAAGATATACGAGCTGTTTTCTGCAATATTGCCTATGTGGATCAGTATATAAACTACCTTATATATTATGATCTACCCGTGGACTAAATTTCATTCGCATCCATTCATTCATTTACCATTTAAACATGATTAAGTAACAAAACAACACAAACTCCAAACATCTTTTCAAACTTTACCAAAGGGAGACTTGTAAAAAAGTCGTTTGTTTAGGCATCTCTGTCAATTGAGTTTGCATGGCTGTGTTTCGGTTTAAAAGGTGAGATATGGCATTGAATTTACACGGTATAAAAGAATAACACCTGAATTCTCATCATTGGCAACGCTTGAGGAGTATCATGGGCGAAACAGTATAATTTGTTATGTCCATGATACTGCTTATGTCTATAGGCGACGATTACCACTTTCTACCAGGTGGGTAGTCACCTTGTTTACCATTCAAAGTTATAATACTCGTATTAGGAAGATTGTATGTTCCGTGTTCATTTGAGAAATTTTTACGGTTTCCTTGATAATACTTCAATAAAAAGTATTTTAATATATTATAATTCATATTCGGAATCTAATGCGACTTAATTAGTAAATAGTACTATATATGGTAAGTGTAATCCCAGCATAAACCATTCTTTCCTACCCGTGAGTATCGTACAAGGCAACTAAGGGAACTTGATGGTTGACGGATGGGTAGCAGCGTACCTCTTAAAACATCGCCCAATTGCGATTGCCAATCCGCCATGCCAAGCGTGGCAACTACTGGCAGTACCCTCCTTGTGGGTGAGGCTTATGTTTAGCATTGGAGAGTTAACGGCTGATATGATTACGATTACTATATACCTAAGTTTTATTTTAGTTTTTTTTTTAATAGATGTTAAAAAAAGTCAGTTATGTAGGTAAAAGTACTAGTTCCGAAATGTATTTTAATATTTGTAAAAAAAAATATCAAATTTTAATTCGGTAATGATTTCTCTTTCAACTTGTATAAGGTACAGTTTTATAAAGCCTTAAATAAGTTTCAAAAGCCCCAATGAAAAATTCAATCAGTACATAATCCATGCTTAGAAGAGCTCACAGAGGACAATACATTTTTCCATGAATTTTGAGTGATACTTTAGGCATATTGAATTGTCCTCTCCGAGGCCTTGTAGAAACATCTAAACCTTAGATTATAAATTATATAGATAGACAAGGTAAAAGAGAGAAAACATAATAACATATATAATAGAGTGAGATAGAAAAGTAGGACAATCATTTACACAATATAAGCCTGAAGCTGATTCGGTGAGAGTATGTGAAAAATAAGTTATTATTTTTTAAAAATGAATATAGTTGGTTAGAATTAAATGTACTGTTCCTGGATATAACATTAATTATGAAAAACAAACCACAAAATTGTACATTATTCACATATTTACACTATAAGCATTTATCTCTTGAAATACAATAATCTTTTAATTTAATTTAAATAAAGTTTAGAACGTTTACGAATAGAAATTATAATTATGTTTAACACTGAAAATAAATACGTAATTTTTTTATATTTTTGCCACTTTAATTCCATATTAATTTATATCTATCACATTAACACATTTATAAAACACGCACACTAGTGTAATAATTTTCTTGTATCGTTTTTGTAGTCGCATTGCCAGAATGTCGTACGTTTTATACTATGGCTTTATACGTCTTTATACTATGACTACGTCTATGTTTTAAACTGATATTACTTGTATATTATATGAAATAGTAATTTATATAATATACAAGTTGACGCCCACCTAATGAAAACGTCCTTTATATACATGAACAGCATTATTTTATGTAGTTAAAGAATACCTTTGTCATTTACGTTATTTATAGGCATAAATATACACTATTTATATGTATGTGTATATATAGAATACACTATGATGCCCATATCACAAGGAATAGATTCAGTCGAATTAAAAAAAATAGCATGAGCTACTAATATTAAATTTGTTTGTTAAATTAAAAAAAAAAAAACTTAATAAGAAATCTTGAACGTCTTACACTTGACGATTTAACTTTCTTAGCAAAAGTAATAAGCATAAGCCTAAATGAATCTGCAGTCGAGCGCTCGGCGCGTGACGTTCATGATTGGCAGCTTTACAAAATCTTCTTTTAGAGCTGGCCATTTAGAAATGTAAAAAAAAAGAATAAAAAACAATGGACCCGAGGATTCTGAATTCAAAAAATCGCTCGCTTTTCCCGCGCAAAGAAACAAAACACGGTCGGTACAAATCACGACGGTTGGCCGGCGCGCCTTGTGAATTATTCATTATTCACGTAGGTAAGCAATAATACAAACAGGTGAATATTATTTTTCTTTTTGTGTGCAGTGAATAGGTGCCGACGCCTGCGAACGACTGATAATAACTCATCGATTGTTTACTAACTAACGGGAGGTATAAACAGAGCCGTGTTTCGTTGCGTATTTTTCAATTTTCCCTTGATTAATATGAACGAAACACATGCGGTTTGTCAAATAAATTGCGAACACGAAGTTGGGATGGATCTGAAACAAATAATTACGTACGAAAATTGTATGGGTCGAGGTCGATGTCGTTAGTTCTTTACGTACTAATTTATTTAAATAACTTTATATTAAATAGTTAAATTATATATTATTGATATTGGAATGGCGCAGATTGTTCATGCCATCAAAACTCAATCAAAGAAATCCTTTTAAGGGATAATTCTAACTCTGTATATTTTCGTTATAATATCTATATTAAAAATGAAGCAGCATAAAAATAAATAAATAAAATTTTCTGTTTTCTCCAACAAAATCTTTGTATGTATTTTTATAGTTATTATTTTTTATTTTAATTAACTTTGCAAATTTGACTTATTATTTATTATTTGGAATAAAACAGTTATAAATATCTACGTAAAATATTTTTTTATAACTACATAACTTCATGTGTACGAAAATTTTATGTCAACGCCACCGTAGAAAATAGTTAATTTACAAGGAAAATATGTTTAATTAACCTAATAATGTTAATTTAATAATAATAATTATTGTTACATTATAATAATAAAAGGTTTAGCGAGCAATAAATAATTGACCAATTCACAAAAATATAATTTACAATAATAATTGTATCACTCATCACATTAACATATCATTTGTTATTTTCATCATCAATCAAAGTGATTAAATGAATGATAACAAAAGTTTCCTCACACCACCTGGTAGCCAAGATTTCGTAAATTTTCGCCTCAAAAGAATACTCCAAAGCAATATAAACACAATAAAAGTGACAGTCATCCATATGCATGAAAAATCTATACAGGGTTCCGCGTTACAAATTAATCCCGCAACTCATTTCATTATTGCCAGTGTCATGGAAAAAAAAAACACCTTTTTTATATCTTACATATTATTATATCTAATGGTTAAATACCTCATTTTATAAGCTTTTTATTTACCTTGCTTTAGTAGGTCTTTCGTTAAAAATTTCCAATCTATTTTCTTACCACTTGATGGTGTTCGATCGTGCTGAAGCTTTGCTAACTTATTTACGGGTCATCATCTTTATCATATCAGACA